ATGAGAAGCAATATGCTCTGTTCAGTGATGGGTCCTATCGTCTTGTGGGAAAGCATCAGCAGTGGAAGGCTGCTGTATGGAGCCCTATACAACAAGCCTCAGAAACTGCTGAAGGAGAAGGTGAATCGAGTCAGTTTGCACAGGTGAAAGCCATTCAGCTGGCTTTAGATATTGCTGACTGAGAAAAATGGCCAGTGCTGTATCTCTATACTGACTCATGGATGGTGGCAAATGCCCTGTGGGGGTGGTTGCAGCAATGGAAGCAGAACAACTCGCAGCACAGAGGCAAACCCATCTGGGCTGCCGCACTGTGGTAAGATATTGCTGCCCAGGTAGACAACCTGGTTGTAAATGTACGTCATGTAGATGCTCATGTACACAAGAGTCAGGCCACTGAAGAACATCACAACAACCAGCAGGTGGATCAGGCTGCTAAGACTGAAGAGGCTCAGGTAGATCTGGACTGGCAACATAAGGGTGAATTATTTCTAGCTCGGTGGGCCAATGACACCTCAGGCCATCAAGGAAGAGGTGCAACATATAGATGGGCTCGTGATCGAGGGGTGGACTCGACCATGGACACTTTTGCACAGATTATCCATGAATGTGAAACATGCATGGCAATCAAGGAAGCCAAGCAGTTAAAACCTCTTTGGTATGGAGGATGATGGCTGAAATCCAAATATGGGGAGGCCTGGCAGATTGATTATATCACACTCCCACAACCTCCCCAAGGCAAGTGCTATAAGCTCACCATGGTGGATGCAACCACTGGATACCTGGAAACATATCCTGTGCCCCATGCCACCACCCAGGACGCTATACTGGCCCTTGAAAAGCAAGTCTTATGGCGACATGGCACTCCAGAAAGGATTGAGTCAGATAACAGGACTCATTTCCAAAACAACCTCATAGACACCTGGTCCAAAGAGCATGGCATTGAGCGGGTATATTACTCAGGGACTGGTTGGGCGTTGGTCGGTGGGTGGTGAGCAATTGCATCGTGCATCACTTGCTTTGTATATTTTTTATTTTTATTTGTTGTTGTTGTTGTTATTATTTTACTTCATTTTATTTCAATTATTAAACTCTTATTTCAACCTATGAGTTTTCTCACTTTCACTCTTCCGATTTCACTTGGAGGGGCATGGTAAAGACGCCCCACTGTATAATAAACTACCAGAAAATGAGAAGCAATATGCTCTGTTCAGTGATGGGTCCTATCGTCTTGTGGGAAAGCATCAGCAGTGGAAGGCTGCTGTATGGAGCCCTATACAACAAGCCTCAGAAACTGCTGAAGGAGAAGGTGAATCGAGTCAGTTTGCACAGGTGAAAGCCATTCAGCTGGCTTTAGATATTGCTGACTGAGAAAAATGGCCAGTGCTGTATCTCTATACTGACTCATGGATGGTGGCAAATGCCCTGTGGGGGTGGTTGCAGCAATGGAAGCAGAACAACTCGCAGCACAGAGGCAAACCCATCTGGGCTGCCGCACTGTGGTAAGATATTGCTGCCCAGGTAGACAACCTGGTTGTAAATGTACGTCATGTAGATGCTCATGTACACAAGAGTCAGGCCACTGAAGAACATCACAACAACCAGCAGGTGGATCAGGCTGCTAAGACTGAAGAGGCTCAGGTAGATCTGGACTGGCAACATAAGGGTGAATTATTTCTAGCTCGGTGGGCCAATGACACCTCAGGCCATCAAGGAAGAGGTGCAACATATAGATGGGCTCGTGATCGAGGGGTGGACTCGACCATGGACACTTTTGCACAGATTATCCATGAATGTGAAACATGCATGGCAATCAAGGAAGCCAAGCAGTTAAAACCTCTTTGGTATGGAGGATGATGGCTGAAATCCAAATATGGGGAGGCCTGGCAGATTGATTATATCACACTCCCACAACCTCCCCAAGGCAAGTGCTATAAGCTCACCATGGTGGATGCAACCACTGGATACCTGGAAACATATCCTGTGCCCCATGCCACCACCCAGGACGCTATACTGGCCCTTGAAAAGCAAGTCTTATGGCGACATGGCACTCCAGAAAGGATTGAGTCAGATAACAGGACTCATTTCCAAAACAACCTCATAGACACCTGGTCCAAAGAGCATGGCATTGAGCGGGTATATTACTCAGGGACTGGTTGGGCGTTGGTCGGTGGGTGGTGAGCAATTGCATCGTGCATCACTTGCTTTGTATATTTTTTATTTTTATTTGTTGTTGTTGTTGTTATTATTTTACTTCATTTTATTTCAATTATTCACTTCTTATTTCAACTTATCAGTCTGTCTTTATCTCAACCCACGAGTTTTCTCACTTTTACTCTTCCAATTCTCTCCTCCATCCCACTGGCGGGGAGTGAGGGAAGTGGCGTGTGGTGCTTAGTTGCTGGCTGGGGTTAAACCATGACATTGGCATTGCACATTTACAAGCTACAGCTCCCCCCAGGAGAAGCACTTGCTGCCAGAGTAGAGGGTTTACCTTCTATTTTTAAGTAAACATCTCTGATTTTGCAGGAGCACTGCCCTCTACACTAGGAGCTGCTACCACTACGCTAGCAGCAGGAGGCTACTTTCCAGCTCCTGGTTGTTTTCACCACATTTTTTAGATGTTTTATAAATTAAGATGGAAATCAGAAAAAAGATTATGTGAAGAAAAAATAATTTTTTTTTATTTACACTATATTTTGTTCCTGGTTTTGAAATTATCTAGATATCCCTGGAGCAAGTTTAAAAAAAAAAAAAATCCTAAGTGACTACTTCTGCTGTGGTAAGCTAAGTGACAATCCTTGTTTCAGCCACACCTTCACCTTTGCTGACACACAGAACTTCTTTTCCTGTAGTGAGACTCATGCTCTTCAGGATAATATTTTACAGCACTTGCCTTTATCACATAGGCGATTAATTGTTTTTCTTTTACATTTTATCTGAAAATATACAGGTCTGATTATGCAAGCTAATACATTCTAACACTGTTCATTTTTTTCTTTTTTTTTTTTTTCAACATAAGTAATTAATATTTGCAACAAACCAGACATACACAAGATACCAATGGCAGTGGTTGAACCACATGCATGGCTTTTTTTTGCATGACCTATTCATCAGAAGAGCCCACAGCCTGTGTTTGGTGTTCTCATGTCTTACCAGCTAATCGATATGAAAACTGTGCCTCCACTGGTAATTTTACTATTTCAGGCTGTATTTCATACTGAAATTGCAGCCATGTGAGACAGCTTCACAGACTATCATGAGCCTGCTTTATTTAGGAATTGAATTTGTGTTGTGTACTGTAATTTACTGTAATTTTTCCTGCATGTCTCAGCATTTGGAAGAGCCCTTTGAATCCGCAGTTCTGAAATGGCATTAGTATGCTCCCAGCATTTACCTTCTTCCAATCAGCGAGCAACAGGAAAAGGAGAGTGAGTCATCAAAGAGGTGGAATATTTTTCCTTTAAAAGCAAGTATTTTTCATGTGTCTATGGATTTTGGATATTGCCTGCTGCCAAACTGGGTGGGCTGCTCTCTTCTCCATAACCCCTCCTTATGCCTTCCCACCACCTACTCTGCAACATCCCGGAGGTAGTTTAAGGAACTAGGTCATTAGCAAGCAAATTAACTTTACCAAAAATTTTCCTCTTTATTTAGGTCCCAGAGAACTGCTCATCACCTAGTTAGGCAAGTAATAGTGGTGGCGTAAGGGAGGGAGCAGGAACACGTGGAGGGAAGGAGACAAGGGGAGCATCCTCCTCCTCCTCAGCAGCATTAGACTGGCTCAGCCGTGTCCTAAAACTGCACTCGTAATTCCCTGGTAAAACCAAATGCAAGAGAGAAGCAGTAGGTGAGGCTCAGGGTTTACCTACCCTAATGTCGAGTTGTCCAGTGCCTAAACTTGTCATTATTTTTACCTGCTATATTAGACTGTTTCTCTGTCCACTTTATTCTGCAGACTAGTACATTTAATATTTAGTTTGCAGTGGTTTTATCATGATAAATGCAACAAATACAGGCTACCCATCTAAATACCATCACTACAGATGTTTTTATTAGTTTGTTATGCTGATGAGGAATAAAACAGATGGAACAAGAAACTCATGGTATTGGAGGCACAAAGAAAGGGAGCTGGTTTTTTTTTAAAGTGAGAATGGCTGATCACAGCTTAAAGTTTTATGTGGGAATTACATGTTTAATTCACAGCCATGGCAGACCAGGCCTTGTCAGAAAAGGCCTTCCATTATTCTGAAACCCTGTTTTTTTTTACGTTGAATTTTATGAAGAAGCTGGAGAACTTTCTAGCACATACAGGGTTTCTCACACGAAAAAATAAGGAATGGCTCTACCCTGCTTGAGAACAATCAAGTTTACACCAGAAAAGTCTTCTGTTTTCTCTGCTCTCTGAGAACAAATCCCGAGAGCCTCATTCCAGCTTGAACCATTACCCCCGATCAATGTTTAAAGGAGAGGTTCCACAGGAATACTTAGCTATACAAAGTGGCTTTTTCCCTGAGGCCTATAGAGAGGCTGGGTAGGTAAAGCTAAAAGAGACTGAGTACCTAAGTTTATCCTTTTAATGCAGATCCCTATCCTCCTGTCTCCTTCATGTGGGAGAATCTATCACTCATCTTTAGGGCACTAAAATCATGGGGTTTTTGGAGACATGCTACATTAGCAAAGGGTCAAAATAAGATTTTCTATGCAGATGTCTCTAGAGGTCCACAGCTCTTTGGAAAATATCACATAGTGTATTTTAAGGTAGATGTCATTTCAGTGAGGCCTCCTAAAAGTAAAACATGCCTGAAGTTGATGTTAGAAAGGAAACAGTTAATGTTTTTTAGGTTTTTATCTCTAATTTGGATCGTATCAGATAGTCTTTTTTACAGCAAATTAACACATTAGGATAAAGCCTAGCAAAAATGTGCTTGCCTTTTGTCCTCAGTGCTTGCCAATTCAGATGTTAGTGGGGAGGAAGATCTAATTTCCAACATAACCTCCACTTAAGGGGAGGAATATCTTCCAAAGAAGAGAATGGTGTTGGTTGGATTGTGTCTGATGAAGAAGAGGAATGGGTGGTCAGCTTTAAACTCATAAGAAACTGGGTGACACAGAGGTACTGCAGCAAGTCCCATGGCACCAGCTGCTTCAGTGCCCTCTTCGTTGACTTCCACGAATGACTTCTGGATGGCCTTGGACACAACTAAACCATCTTTCCTAGAGATTCCTGACAAATCAGCTTTCCCCCAGTCAAAAACATTCATCACTCCCATCTCCTGGAGAGTTTTGTTGAGAACGTAACTTTCCTCCATCTTGAACTGGGGCAGGTACACGTTCACTCTCAGCTGTTGCATTCTAGCCGAGCTGGTCCATCCTGCTAGTCTTTCATATGTGAGGGTGCATTCAAGCTGGAAGGCGGTGTTGATAATAATGATCGACACCATAATGAATGGAAAGAAAAGATGATACGGTTCATTTTTTTCCCAATTGTCCTCTGACCACACTGGAGCAATGTTAAGTATTGCTCTGTTTGCGGCCCCTTATGTATGCTACTAGACAGGAAAAGAAGTATTACCTGTTCTAGGCCAGTAAAGTCCTCACAGACAACTTCAGGAAGAAGAATAAACATGCTCAGTTCATTCTTAAAGTATGGGAGTTCTATCACTTTCATTTTCATTTCCTCTATGAAGGCCATGTTAAAATAACCTTCTTGAAACATCATCTGCACTGTCCTTTTCTCATTCTGGAACGGATGAAACATATTAAGCAGAAAATACAGAAATACAGAAATGATCACTCTGGTTCTAATTGGTTTCAGTATTGAGATTAGAGTCCAGTCCAGAGAACATTATTTACACTGGTCACGGGTTTAAGGTACTTGTAGCATTGACGTGTTCCTACCTCCTAACTGTAGCACCAATGAAGTTATCCACTTTAGAAGCATAAAGCCTACTTTACCATTTCTACTGGTACCAGATTACTTTACTCACAACTCCCTTGTTATGTCATTCTTTTTTCTGGCATGTCATATGGGGAAACTGATGCACCTGATGCAACCATGAATCTAAATTATTCATGAATAATGTATGCATTCTCCTGAAATAATTTGTCTTTAGCTCATTTTTTTCCTGAAAACAAACACTGTTCTGTTGGTAAATAGTAGCAGAGGAACAGAATCCTCAAATTCAGTCCCAAAAGCAGACTGTTTTTGAAACAGCATCCTTAGTTGCGAAATCCCCAACAAAGGTAGTGCGTGTGCTCAGTGACTTTGACCCAACCAGGATTTCAGCTGCACGAGACCCACCTCTGATGGGAAGTGATAGAAACAGTTACGTGCTTGGTTATCAAACTGGAGAGATGTAGCTTTCCATTGTTCCAGCTGAAGACCAGTGTTTTGTCTTGGGGTAACAGAGAGGAGGAAAGCTCCTATCTGTTGTTAGATAGAGACTGACACCTGATTTCCATCCCCCAGCTGTTTCAGTTCCTGCCCATACTGTACCTTGTTCAGTCGGAAATATGTTTCTTTAGTGTCTTCTTTCTTAAATTCTACTGCCCACTTTCCTTTAAAATATATAGCATTGACCAGGACAAGTACAGTGGAGGGATCAATGAACCCAGTACCAAATAGGTCTTTGACTTTACCTTTAAAAATAATGAATTAAAAAGAATTATTACTTTGTTCAGAACATTAGCTGCATTTGACTATTAATAATTACTCCTGTAAATCTGAAAAGTAGTATAATGCTGTCAGACAAATAACAAAAAGTTTATGTACAGCTTTTAAAGCCAGGAACTCAAGGCATTTTTTTTACTTCTTCCTACATTTATTTTCTATTGAGCAAAAAAATGCAGTAAGTGTTTAATATATAAAAATCCTGCTATCTTTGACAAAAAAAAGTGGAAACTGAAATTCAGACATTATATTCCTAACTGGTTGGACTGCAAACCAAACAACCTGCACATATTCTTCTTTACCTTTTGTCTCATTTTCCACCCAGAAGTTAATCTTATCTCTGGCTTCTTCTTCAGTGTATTTAAAATTGACTGCTTCCAGTTCTGCTCGATAGAATTTCTTTGTGGAATCCAGGTATTGCTGGAAAGTACAAATGACAGAATTTTATTGCAACACAGTGATTTAACAAATGAGTGAAACAGGCATATATAAAAAAATTCATTGAACTAACTCAAGCATGCAGTTTTAAGAGAGAGATTATTTATAACAAAGCATATTTGCAAATGTATTTTTCCGTATTTTCAAGCTGTATTGAACAGCAGAATATCTCACCACAGTAAAAAATATCTAAGACCAAAACTTACTACCTTTCTTTAAGTTTATATATCATTGTTACGCTGCCTATCTTCCCTCAACCACCAAATGAAGAAGGCTGCCTTATTTTGAACAAATAACTGGGATTGATTATACCACAATGAGATATGTATGTATGTGTATATATATATATATTACTCTGTGTAGATATATATATTGTAAAGCTTGTAACCTGTATCGAGTGTAAAATTTTTCCAGGCTGCTGGTCACCTTTTTCTGGCTCTGAAAATCTCTCTTTACCTAGAGTGCAAAGTTTTGGAAGCACGATGAAATCTTGACTTGAAAAGAGAAAACTGTTACGGAGATAAAACAGCACTGTTCCTAGTAATACTCTTTCTTACACACACCTTACATCTGGTTTCCTGAGGAAATGATTTGTATGCACTTGCATTACCTGGGCTGTCAGTGTTCCACTTAAATTAGACTAATTGACAAAAATCTCAAAGATTCTACTTCCTTCTAAGCCTTGTTTGAAAAGGCAG